AAGATCTGGGGTGACTAGAACTTTGCCACCAAGAATTATCATGATGGCGAGAACATGCTGTGGTTTCTGTTTTCCACCTGGGCTTCCAGCATCTTATTGTCTTATTCTAGTATGTATCTACTGTTGGTTTGGGGGGAAATAGCATTGATATTGGCATTAAGCTGTTGTCAAGCCCCAGGTAGCTGGCAAAATAGAACCACACAGATTTCAGAAAGGCATCTTTAATTCTAGTTGGGATTAAAAGCATAATCTTAAAAATTGTAAGAGTAAGTTCCCCGGCAGTGCTTCCATTTTAGCTTTTTTGGACCATAATCTATGGAGACCCCTGGACCAATAACTTCATGTAACTTAGTCTGGAAATGTAGACAGTCCAGTTGAGATTGCTGGAAGATTGACTAACTACAAATCAACAAAGATTTTTACATTTTTAAAAAATCCATTGTTAACAGCAGAACGTTTATTCCATTACAGGAAAATCAAAACAAGGATCACTATATCATTAACACAAATGGAGAATTGCGCAATCGAGAGCTAACGGTAAGTCCCTCTTCCCCATCTTGAATGTGATCAATAAAGTTGAGAGCCTGTTGGAGACTCTTGCATGGAAGTAGCTTTCCTAGAAGGCAAGAAAGGACTGGATTTTGATGGGAAGGAAAGCAGACCAGAAGCACTTCTAATTACAAATACTTTCCTTTTGGAATACGTTGGTGCAAATGCCCTGTTTCCCCTTACTAAGTATGTTTCCTCTGGATCCAGCTGCATGTCTGGTGACCATGGAGGCACAACATTTTTTGGCAACTGTGTGGAAGTGGTTTGCTGTTGCTTTCTTCCTATTCTAGCCAACAGCCCGGGGGGTTCCTAGAAATTTCCCAGCCAAGTACCAACCTGGGCTAGCCCACTTAAGCTTTTTTGGCATAAGCTGCCAACCAACTGAGCTCTTTCTTACTAGAGTAGGGTTAAACCAGGTTGAGCAATTCAAAACAGTCTAACCCCAGATCCATACCACTGAAATGAAGCAGCACATTACTGATTTGGGGGAAGCAGTTCCTCTGCTCCTCTCCCCCTCCCCCAATGAATGCTCAAATAGATACGTTAAGTTTCTGGTAGTCTTAAAAGAAAACCAATTTGGTGTAGGGGCAAAGGAGTTGGACTAGAAACCAGGATACTGTGAGTTCTAGTCCTTCCTTAGGCATGTAAGATGACTGGGTGGCTTTGGTCCAGATGCTCTCTCTCAGCCCAACCCACTCCCAATAGGAGGCGGGAGCATTATGTACACCCCCTTGAATTGTACAAATAAAGGAGGGATATGGATCTAATAATAAATAAATAAAATTTAAAAATGACTAGCTTGGCCTAAAAAGTATCTACCAGCACCGCAATTTAAGCCTCGATGTCAGTCCCTGACATTATTCACCTGAAATATCTTAAATGTTGCTTGGACAGATACAGTATATAGTTTGTTTCCTTCTTTCAATCCCACAGGTATCATCAGAAACAAGGTTCTAGAAGGACAGTTGGCAAAGAAACACATCAGAGAATGCAACAGTTGAGAAAATGAAAGAAGCATTGGTCCTACAGCAGGTCTTCGCTTCAAGTGATAGCAGAATTGAAACCCTGTCCCACTTGTAGGTACACATGCTTGTACAAAAGGGGGTGGAGCTTCAACTGGACGCCATGCCTGCCATCTGGCAGATTTTGATCCCTCCATGGATGCTCCTGCATCACAGGCAACCATTTTTACCTTAGAAAGCACTTTCTTAACCAGGTTATATGGTGTATATGAATGTGTATATAAGATTATTATATGAAAATCCTGATCTCAAACAGCACTGAAGTATCAACCTGCAGTACCAAAAGATTCAATATCAACTTCAATGTATGTCCACGTACATATACATGTAAATAATTCCATTTACGGGTTAAAATTGTACATTTCCACATTGTAAATTGTTTATATGATACTTCAAAACGTTTTTCAATACCTTATATTTTGTTATGTAAATATTCCTTCATAAAGGTTTTTTTTTTAAATTACAGCTATAAACAAAAGGCTATACTTTACTGTTTTCTTGAGCAAATTTAAAACACTAAAAATAAAATAATCTTTAAAAAAATGATTCAGGACTACAGATGTGTAACACTTTGGATCTGAAGCCAAAAAGATGTTTCGGGGCAGACCTGGGGAGCTGTGTCTTTTCCTGGACTTGTGTGATAATCCCAGGATGCTGGAAAAAATATGTCTTTGAGTTAAGGATACACTGAAAGGGTACATCAAGGTGTTTCAGAGCAGGTGTAGCCTGTAAAGGTATAGGGTGTTTAAGGAGATGCTGACAGGCCCAGCATGGACTCCTGTGCCCAGTCTAAAGAACTGATTCACATTTCTAGTAGAGACTCCAGAGATGTCTTGCGCTCATCCTGGTGTCTCCAGGTTCAGATTGCCTATCTCCAACCTAACAATTAGCTTCCATAGAGATGGGAGCATCTGCTCTATGGCCAGTGAAGTCAATTGACATAACTCAATTCCCAGGTTGTTTTTTTTTAATCCAAACAGAGTGTGAATCCCCCCAAAAGATGCTATAATTATTCCTTGCCAGTAAAAACACAGGCCAGGAGGAGGCTCCCAGCCAGGAATTGGCAATTACCAGCAGAAAACAAACGGAGCTGGCTGGCTGGCCTGTTTTTTGCCAGCAAGCAAGGAACAAGATATGCTTCTGAGATATCTGGGCACATGCAATGATGTCATAACACAAGCCCTGCCCCACAACATTGTTATAGGTAGTAGAGGGGGGGCTTAGCAGTGATGCCAGTGTGGGGGCGGGGCTTGCCATAACTTGTCCCACTTTGCTGCAGATAACCCTGGATCATTCGAATACTCCGGGTTGCATTAATGCTCTTTCTCATTTTGAACAGAGACAGTTGGTGAAGGAGCATATACCTTGCAAGCTCTTTGATACAGAGAAGAGTTTGGGTATCTGATCCACACAGACCAATCTATTTAATCCAAGAAGTCCTTTGTGTCATCTTATCATCTCTAAAAGCGTAATCTACTTTACGGGCAGTAAATTAGCAGTTACCAAAACAAGCACCGTCCAATTTTCCAATTACATGATCATTGCCCCAAGTCTTCTGTTTTCATTGCAACATGCTGATGGCCACTTAGGAAACTGTCACCTCACCATGTTTGGCCTTATTTTTATTGAACCATGAACAATGGAGTAAAGATTATTCCCCTCACCCCCCAATGCCCATCAGCGATAACCTTAGACCTTAAATAACTCCTTGGAATCACTAATCAGAAAGAAAGGTGTCAGTTCAAATTGCAAGAGAACTAAGCAAAATCTGCCCTAAAACACTGGGAATAGAACAGTAGTTTTCGGCATGGCAGACAACATTCAGTTCTCACTGACAATGGAGCAAGATTAACATCTGCAGACCACAGAACTAGAAAACCGGTGCATTTATTTGACCAGTGTGGCAAAGCAGGTAAGGTATTGGACTAGGAATGCCCTAACCTACCTTCACAGATTTGTCGTTGGCATGAAATGAAATAGCCCCAAATAAGCTGTCTTGAACTCGTAGGGAAAAAGCACACATTCCTGATGGCCCAACTGCATTCACAAACTATGAAAGGGAAGTGCAATTTTGGAAAACGAGACTGTTGGCCTTCCTCCCATTTTCCTTTCACCTTCTCTGAAATAAGCCTTTCCTCTTTTAACACCTAAAGATTACATTGCTATCAAAAATGTCTCCAAAGACCTGCTAATCCATTCAAATCCAATTTAAAATCCTCTTTATTCTTAATAACAGGCAACCCTGATGCCTCTCTAAAACTTAAGAAAAGACAAATTTGTATTGAGAAAGATGATTCTTTCATTTTAGAACAGTGATTAAAAGATTGGCCATTATATACATAGATAGCACAAGAAAAAACATGTTAAATGTTAAAAACCTTACATTATCCATAATCAAAATCAGACTCAAAGCAATGAGCAAATACGCTTTTCGTAACTGGAGGGTAACTCAGAAGTCTCTATCCAGTGGAACTTGTTCCCTAGTGCTTACCTCATTACTGTATAGTCTTTTTAAAATCAGAATTGTGCTTGAAATCTAAAAATTGGCATGACCTATATGAGTGAATTTGCTGTGTTTCACTTCTTACGTTGCAGCAAACCTGTTTGCTACCCACTAGTGTATTCGTGAAATCAGAACTGACATCTTTCTTTGATACACTTGATGTTTAATACAATTTTTGCAAGCATGTTTCATGTTTTAAAAGTGTACGCTGCATTATATGTATGTGTGTTTAACAGACGGTGTGGTCCTTCATTCATAAAATGTTTCCCAGCAACTAGAAGTACTTAAGAAGATATACAGATGGGTTGGAATTTGTGATCCTACTAACTCCTCAAAAGTTTACCATGCAAGCTTAAAAATCACAAGTTCTAAGTTTGCAGTACTACACTTTCCCAATGATACATCTTTGTGACCCTATTAATAAAATTAGATAATAAATGTGGCTGGTTTTGACTCATAGAAACAGCCATCTATAAATATTAACTCTGAGTTTTGCTCTTTGCTTTAGTACTCCTACTTTACCTGCACAAGCCTGATCAGCTTGAAAACCAAAAATAACTGTCATGTTCCTTACCAAGTTTTGAGAATCCATGTTATATACATTTACTGGAAAGACAATTCCATGGAATTCAGTGAGCTTTACTCTCAGGAGTGAGTGAGTGTGTGTGCGTGTGTGTGTGTAAAATTTTGCTTAAGCGCTTCGTAAAATATAAAACTACAATTCTCAACATTCATTGAACCGACGCGAAGGACAGCTTTAACTACATTCACCCTTGTTTTTGGAAGCAATCACAGCCCTCTCAACAGAAAACATCATTTTTCTGGCTTGAAGAGGAAAAAAAAAAAAAGCAAATTGTTTCTCTCTACTCCTCAGCCCACCCCAAACAAAAATATTAATCTCATGGAAAAAAGCAAACAGTTTTGGACAATATTTTAAATTTAATTATACACTGGTTGACAAAAAAAAAGTATCACAAACAAAACTATCAGATTTAACAAAAATACTTTAAAGTGGTACAATAAGTGTTCAGTTGTTGGGAGGCCTTATAAACGTTCATCTCTGAGACAATTCAGTCAGACTATGGATACAAAGTCTTTAAAACACTGCTGTCAACTACAGAGCCACTTAGCTTACAGGGTACCAGGTGTCAAGAATCCTACAATCAAAGTTTTCTTTTTAAAAAAATTATTTAAGGTTTAAATCCCCAGAGAGCTTTACAGTCAGAAGTTTATTATCTTTCCAATAAACAAAGCAAAACAGAAAAGACAGTTTCTTAAACAGTCAGATTCATTAAAAGGCTGCTGCTGCTTAGAATGTTATCCTTCTATCATATTTTAGTTCCAATAACTACTAATATCATTGATAGTATGGCCTGTATCTGGCTTGGTCGGGATGATGTGGTCCAGGAAGTGGTGCTTGAGAAGGTGGACCTTGCATTCTTGGTGGTGGCGGTGGCCCTCGTGGAGCTGGCCATATGCCCGGGCTCATTCCCCCGGGCTGAGTGAAAGGAGGGCTGAGAGTTCCTTGGTCTTCACTGAATTTTGGCAAAGCATTAGGATTATAATGATGGGGAGGGGGGGCGTTTACATTGACGGGTGGGCCACCATGCTGAGGTGGTGGTGGCCCAGGTGGAGGATGGTTCATATAGGGTGGAAGTTGTGCAATGATGTGTCCAGGGGGAGGGGTTATAGGTGGAGGAGCAGAGGTCATTGGAGGAGGAGGTGCTTGGCTGTACACCAGATGAGGAGTACCTCCAGCCTGAGGAGGGTGCTGCATGGGGTGACTTATCGGGGGAGGTGGGGGAGGGGGCGGTGCATAATGTTGCTGTGGTGGCATAATATGATGCGGATGGGACACCACGGGTTGGGCCTGATATTCGGGATGATGGTGAGCAGGTGCCGGGGCAGGTGGAGGTGGTTCTCGAGTACCAGAGTTTGAGTCATCCTGGATGGGGACAGTAATAAGATTGCTGTGCTTTCTTGTTGAAATGCGGAAGGTGTCTTGGCTGACCGGACGAGGGGGAGGAGGAGCCATGGACATCTCTGCCGGGGATGCCCGGATATCTTCATGTGGCTGGTTGTAATGCTCGTGTGGCACGTGCTGCAGTGGTGGCGGCGGCATCATGATGTGTTGCTTTGGTGGAAGGTGGCTCAGATGATGCTTATCTGGTGGCATTATGAACCGCTCCGGGATTTCGGCAGGAGGAGGAGCGATAGGAGGATGAACGGGTTCTAGCGGAGGGCGCGCTACCGGCTTGCCAGCTCTCATGTGACGGTGGTTGATGTGAGCCTGTAAGTCTCTCTGAGATAGGTACGTTCTCTTGCACCCTTGGACAATACTGCACATGAAGAGAGACCCGCGGACACACTGCTCAATTCGCTGCACTGGCTCATTACAGCTAGATTAGAAAAAGAAAAGAGAATGGGATTTTTAGACACTACAGTTAATAAACACACAAAAAATTAGAGGGTACAGTATAGTCTTTAAGTGCAATTATTTTATTCTACGCTGGCTCTTAGTCCTGAACTAGAGCTTTGCACTCAGAACTGCTGGAGATACAGAAAGATAATGAACGAAGGACGTGATCTACAGTCCCATAATGCCGTTGGGTCTAACACACCCCAGGCTGATTATTCTATTCTGGCCATTTATCTGCTGTAGCTTGCTGAACAGTAGAAGTCTCACTGCTACCAGCTGATCGTAAAATGAGAATTTCTTTGCACGTGTCCAGCGCCATCCTAACACAAAGCAAATGTGACCCAACCACAGAACACTTATTTCTTCTCGACCCCAAAAGAGACCTGATTCATGTTCACAGGTTGCTCTCTTAAGGAGAGAATGTGCAAGATGGAATCGAGCCGTGCGGACTAATGATCAGGAAAAAAGGTCAAACACCCACAAAATGCCACTCTAGAAAGCTTACCCTGGACACATCTTGTCACCTTTCTTCTCATGTAAGAGAGCACACTCATAGCAGAAAACATGTTTGCAGGGTATCTAAAAAACAAAAGTGACATTCAAGAAAACATCACAGACAAATCTCTTAATTGCTTAAATAAATAAATCAGCACTCTGCTAAAACTGCACTTTTAAACAGGGTAGTACGGTATTTTCTATTCCTGTTTACATTTTGATTTTACATCCAAATAAAATCCAAAGATAGTTTACCTACTGAGAAGCAATGATAAATATTAAATTACACCAAAACAAACAAACAAACAAACACAGACTGGAAATAAAACGTTTACACCTGAATTGTTCAAAGAACTAGAACAGTGAAAATATATTTATGCATTGCTTAACTAGTTCTCCCCCTCCCTCTGCTGGACATTCAAAGGTTATACAAAAGTTTTTACTCAAAACGGATATACAGTGGAACCTCGGGTTACGAACGCTTCTGTTCACGAACTTTTCGGGTGACGACC